GTACATATTGTAATATCAGTACGATGCTGGAAGGCAACATAGAAGGAGTTATTCGATAAAATTGAAATATCACGCGATGTCATGATTTTTGAACTCGTAATCTAATTCCTTATTGTCCTTTTTTTATGTTTATTTGATATTTGTAAACTGGAAAAAAATTAAAGATAATCCTATCTCTTTAAATTATTTTTTTAAAAACAATTTTTGTTGACAAAATAAGTTAGTAAATAATATATAATAATAAATAATTTTTATAGCTCTGCAACAGATATGTATATTCTATAAAAACAATTTATATCAATATACCGCTTCTATGTTGTCTTGTAAGATATTTAAGTATACAGCCGCAATTAAAAATATGAGAAAAGATATACTTTTAAATAACTTTGTCAATTTTTTTAAATATTATATGCTCATAATTGTACTCGAATGTAAATGACACCTATAAACATTTCAATTATTCGATCACTTTTCAAATAAAAATATTATACGGAGCAATAACATAAATTATCACTATTATTAAGTGTCATAAATATTAACTCCTTTTTAAGGTGTTAATTAATTCTCTGCAAGAGCATATATCATGAAAAGGAAGATTTAAAAATAAATATTTGAAACAATTCTTGTATATGTCTACAATCGCAAAAATATGTGTATAAATAGCTGTAATAAACATCAAATCAATCAAGAATAACAAGCGTATCAAAGTTTAACGGTGCTGTACCATTTAAAGTACCATCGCGTGTAGCAATAACTTGAGATGTTAATGTTTCATTTATAGATAAAAATTATAAAGATTTAGTATGATCGTCTAATAATCAATTACAAAGTGCATAGATGGTGAATAATTAATTAGTATTAATTAATCATTATTTTAAATTTCTTGAATTATTTAATTAATTCAAAAACATACCTGCCAGTAGAATTCATAATAAGCTTTTATTAAAAGTTTTATCATACCTAATATACTTTTAGCATCAAAGTTTTACTCTATATGAATTTGTAATCTAAGTAAAATAACATTCAATTAAGTTCCTTGATGTTTTGCTATCACTGCACGCGAATACGATATACTATGGCTTGAGCGCATTGAGAACATGTCGTAACTGGAGATACGTTGTACTATATTACAGGAGAGAAAACGCACATTTCCTGAAAAGGTCCTATATACGAACCTTCTTCCGTTACCGCGAATTGTTCTAGTTTCGACTATTACTTATTGAATTGAGTAGCGATTCCGCTGAGCGAGATCGTACGTACTCCCTCATATAGACGAGAGGACAATAATCTCAGCACCGGCATCTTACGAGGACCATTAATCCTGCTCGCGCGACTCGCGGCGCAAGCGAGTGACAAGAATCAACTTTGGTGCATAATGAAGTTCGTATGTGTATGTATGAAATAAATTAATTAGGTTTCCTGCGCAATAGTTCTAGCGTAAAAATCGTCGCTGCGACCATTTCTTTACGCTCGATCTAAGTAATCCTTAATATTAGGCTGCGATCGAGAACAAAATTGCGCTGAAAACGAAATTCGGTGGCGATTGATGAGAGTCCTAAGGCGATGGATTTTAGTATTGTCTGTAGAATTAGCTTAGTAGGAACGAATCGCTGGCGGAACCGTCGCACATTCCTGTTGACTGAGCGTAATGTCAATCACCGGTCTAAAGTCGAGAGACACCTTAAATTAATGAAATAGAATTAGAAGTTGTGAAACAGAAGTTATCGATTGGAAGTATTAAAATGGAGAACAATAATAAAAGTCTAATTAATTAATGTAAATATTGAGTGAAAAATACAAAGTTAAAAACTTAAAAAAACGAGAAAAACATTCATGGACACAATAAAAACATATCAATCTCATCTCTATCTGTAAATAATAAATGAAAAATATACCTCTCCTGTTTTCGGATTAATCTTTGACAGCGTGTGCTTCCTCCAATGTTGATTGAAAGATTTTGGTTGTTGGTTTTCGGTCGGTTTACTATAATCGTATTCATCGATTCTCTGTTTATAATCCTCACGAGCGTGCGCACCGCGACTCTCCTTTCTGTTCTCCGCCCCAACAATAGTCTGCATTGCATTGATCATAAGATTTTGAAGCTCAAACGTTTCTACCAAATCGGAATTCCATATTAAAGATTTGTCCGCGACTTTTAACTCTTTCAATTTTTTGTAGAGATCGGACATTTTCCGACAGCCTGTGAAATAAATACATAATAATATTTCCAATGCTATGTTACAATATTCGTAAATTCGACGGGCAATTGTATGCAAGTGAAACATCAATGGTCTTTTCATTTTTACCTTCCTGCAAGTTTTCGGCGTCTCTGAAAACCGCCGCGTGCGTTTGCATAGTCTTTTGCATAGTTAGCCTTAATTCCGCGGTGGAGATGGAACCGTTGGCATTTCTGACCCAGTCTAAATTAGCTACCGTCTCTTCGCCGGCGTTCTAAAATATACAAGCAAGATGTAACACACATTTATCTTATAATAAAAATATAGTTTATATATATATATATATATATGCTCATAGAGAGCTTATCTGAAGTGGCAGAAACTTACAGGTCTCAGAGATCCGATCGCCTCGCCAGGCTTGTTCTCTTGAGCGATAGTTTTAGCACAAGCACGCCCAAATACGACTAAATCCAATAGAGAATTAGCACCCAGTCGATTAGCGCCGTGAACGGACGCGCAAGCTGCTTCGCCACACGCATATAAGCCAGGTACTATTTTGTCTTGATTGTTCTCTTTGGTCAACACTTGACCTTTGTAATTTGTCGGCACACCTCCTGCGCGTGCAATTCAATATAAATATCAATATAATATTACTAGACCAATCTCTTCCACAGAAAAATTATTACAAGTAAAACAAAATAGTTTATATATAATAAATAGTTGAATCTCATTGAAAAATTACTCTGTGTTGCATTTAATAAACTATTTTATCAAAATATTTTCTTGCTAAGAAGAAACTTAATCGTGACAACTCCAAGCATCATGATGAAGAATGCCAGGACTTTCAACTAAAATCGTAATTTTAATTACGAAAAAAACTCGTTGCATAACAACAACTATTTTAATGGAGTTTCATTTTCATTGCGAAGGGAAAATTAAATTATTTTTTTTATTAATACGTTAAATGTTATGCAGATATAATATGCACACACACAAATATTTCTCAGTAATATTTTAATAGAGTATTAATTGTAATCCACGATTAAGTATCTTCTTTCTTCCGAAGGTCGCATCTTAAGTATTAACAGCCTCAATACTTCAGTTGTTTATATTCATACCCATATTGTAATGGACGGTGGGGATGACGGGGATGGGTTCCCGGGTCACATCGACGCCAGCGAATATCATCGCCGTTTCCGAAATACCTGGTAGTCGTGCAGCCAGTTGTTCAGGTGGCAGATGATGTAGCTGTAAGTAAATGTGATCCTTCTCCGGTCCAACGCCTCTAAGTAGAGATAAAGGACTATATTTACCACGAATATATCCAAAGACGCAACAAAAAACGCATCTTTGTTGGCTAGTGACTCACCTGCCCTCTCTAATCTCCATTGTCATAGATCTAGACACTACGTCTCGCGAAGCCAGATCCTTCGCTACCGGCGCATAACGCTCCATGAACCTCTCGCCCTCACTATTTATCAGATAACCGCCTTCGCCACGACTACCTTCTGTAATCAAACATCCAGCGCCATAGATACCTGAAATGAGTACGTTTTTTGGTTAGTGCAAATTAAAGAACTACGTAATTAATTCTTCGTATCATATACATAGAACGTTAAAAAATAATTATACTTGAATATATATCAAAGACTTTTTTATGCTACGTTGCAACAATAATCTTATTCTGTGTATTAAATATATACTACCATAATTATTCAAACAACAGATATTTTACTTTTAAAAGTAAGTGTTCTATATTATTATTAATATAGATAATCATTCTATATATAATAAGATATTATTTTTTTTATTAACAGTATGGAAGAAATACTTATTTAGCTTTTAAAATTGCAGTAAAGTATAAAATATCCGTCGTGCAAATAATTATGAGCAATAGTGTATAGGTATTAAGTATGTACCTGTAGGATGAAATTGCACAAATTCTAGGTCTTGATTGGGCAGATTAGCCCTGGAGACCATAGCGGTACCATCTCCAGTACAGGTGTGTGCAGATGTGCAGGAAAAGTAGGCGCGTCCGTAGCCGCCAGTAGCGAGCACCGTATTCTTGGCGTGGAAACGATGCAACGTTCCGTCCTCCAAACAAAGCGCGATCACACCGCGACATTCGCCGTCCTCCATCAGCAAATCGAGGGCGAAATACTCGACGAAGTAATTACAATCGTAACTTAATGACTGACCATAAAGTGTGTGTAGCAATGAATGGCCGGTCCTGTCAGCTACGCAACAGCATCTATGAGCCTGACCGCCCTTGCCGAACTTGAGAGATTGACCACCAAAAGCTCGTTGATAGATCTTGCCTGATAGAAAAGATGAAGACGGTTTCAATTAATTTTGATAAATATTATTATGATACATATTATTTATTAATTTTTATTAATATTGTAATGACATTGTAAGTTTTTCAAAACTTATTATCTTAAATCCTTAGAGATTTAAAAATGTGGAGTTTATATTAAATAAAATGTCATAAATGACATGGTGGAATAAATGATAGCTTTTGACGAAGATGACTTCAAGGCTAAACTTGTTTTATAAATTAAATGTTAATATATGTATATATGACGAATAGAATTTTGAAGATCTTCTAGATATTCATTATAGTTCATAACTCTATTTCATGTTTAAATTATCGAAGATATAATTCAATTATTTCAAGTTTAAAATATCAAAGATTATCAACGTAAAACAGAGAGTCTCTATATGAAGATTCCCTAATAAAAAAATTATATTAAAAAAAAGATAATTGCAGCATTTAAAAAATCAAGTCTGACGAACAGCAACTTCAATTGCATAGCAACCTAGTATTCCTAGCAATGACATTTGTTATTTTCACGGTGAAAAAATTCGCGTTTTATTTTCTCGATTGCAGGGACAAATTCTTGCTTCTGAATTACTTTTTATCGATGAATAAGAATGGTGCGTACATAAATATTGATAAAGTAAATACATCTTTTTGGGATCATTATTAAATCATGGAAGACGACAATAGAAGAGAAGAAATTAATGAAGTAATAGGAGGCATGGAAGAGGATGGAGCTACAAGGCAACAAGAAAGAGGTTCTGATAATCAGTACCAACAGCTATCAAGACCCTCCTCCAGTCGCAAACGCATGCGAGATGAGTGAGTTACGTAAACGTAACTATCCGTAATTAAGATGTAATATGATAGCTATACGACAGAATATCTCCAGAATTCAAATTGCTATTTTACATATATATAAGTATTTATCTGATTATTTTACTATTAGGTCCGTATTCATAGTCGAAGATCGATAATTAATCCTCATTTCAGGCGAGCTAGACTTGAACTAAAGATTGAACCAATCAGATTTATTAAATCGCGATTTGAGAAGCGTTTATCAAATGAAGGACTGATTCAAACCTAGCTTAAATCGGATCTCAAGTTGAATCACGACTATGAATACAACCCTTAGGTCCGTATTCATAGTCATAGATCGATCCACAATTGATCCTCATTTCAGGCTAAATTTGAATCAAAGTTTGGACCAATCAGATTTATTAAATCATAGTTTGGGAGACATTTTTCAAATAAAAGAGTGATTCAAATCTAACACAAATCAGATCTCAGGTTGAATCACGACTATGAATACGATCTTTAGTGCTTCTGTTTTAATACAGTGGGTGCATCCAGAAGCACGACTACTCACTAGGATGCATCTAGTGTGTATTATAAAAAATATCAGGTTTGATCAAACTTTTGGAAACATTTATCGTTTGCTCTTATCATTATTTCCCATTTTTAATAATTGTATGAAGTATACATTCGGACAGAACAGATTCCAGCCAACGTGACAGAAAGCCATCCCGCACGAGATCGAGATCGAGATCGAGATCGAGATCAAGATCAAGATCAAGTAAGCCTCTGCAAAGAAGGCAATGGAGAAGCGCGAATGCCTTTTTAAATTTTATGCAAGACTTTAGGCAGGTAACGAAATGCAAAAATGACGGGGATAATGCGAACGTTATGTAAGCATAATAATCAAATTACAGAATTATAACAAGGTGAAGAGCAGAGATCTGTTTCGTCTTGGGGGACAAACATGGCGGCAAATGTCATCCACGGAGAAGATGCCCTACGTAGAAGCGGCCAAGTTGGCGCAGCAACAATCGCAACAAAATACTAAGAATACACAGCAAAATAAGCCTAATAGCAGTGACTCTTCAAAGAAGACCGAAAATCAAAGAGACCAGAAAAAGAATGAACGAGAGGTTTGTTTGTTAAATAAGCTTTCACTGACTTTTCTTATATTTTTAGTAAAATTAAAGTCCTATATAATTTTTGTATTTTTAAATCTTGTCATTAAATTATTATATATTCAGTTAATTATTAATTCATAAAAAATTCAATACGTACATTTAATGTTTATGTTATTTAAAAAATGTAAAATTAGAACTTGGCAGTTTTACTATTTTATAATGTTTATAATCCGTGATAAGTTTTAAATAACATATGGATATTTACGTTTCAGGGAAGAAAAGAAAGCAGACGTTCTAGAAGCAAGAGAGACGATTCCGACGTAGGATCAGATTCTGCAACGTCGGGAACAGGCGCGACTATGACCAGTGAGGACATTTCTGATCTGAGTTCTTAAATATCAATTTATTAATTGATATCAAGAATGTTAAAAAAAATATTTGTGCGAAACAATTTATTTCGATTATGTGTCTCAATATTAGTCCTTGGTTGTATCGTTATAAAATTTGAATAAAGTCCAAAACCTTATAAAAAATAATTTATTTTCAGGTTTATTCTCCTTTATAGAGTTCTTTCTTTCTACATTTTCTTGCAACTTCCTTTAATTTTTAATTTATTTATTTGTGATATTTAAATTTGGATTTAAATCGACTTTTCTATATATAGCATATTCTATCATGGTTTTATATTGTTATATAAGTTTTTTAAATCCTTTTTATCTCTCTGTTTCATGTAGATATAGTATCTTAAGACATTGGCTACGTTTACACCGTGCATTTAGGCCGCGGCCTATACAATAGATGTCCTTGTTTATCTTGTAGATTAAACAAAGACACTTATCGTATAGGTCGCGGACTAAGCGCACGGTGTAAACGTAGCCAATGACACTCTGATGTAAAGATTGTACTGTTTTCTTTGTTAGGGATTTGCTGATTGGCTAATGTTGTTTTACTACTACAAGTAGGAAAGAATCAGAAAGATAAATATTTGTTTGCCTTCCTTTTCTCCGTCATGGGCCGTAGTTTTCTATAGTTTAGTATAGGGAACGCGCGTGTCCCAGTATACTATAGAGCTCACTGGGTCTATTTGATGATGGAAAGAGAGAGAGAGAGAGAGAGATTCTCATTCACCGTCGGTAGTGCGACTGAAGGGCATGCCGCAATTCTCCAGCTCGATGACGGCCTTCGGTGCCTCGCGGGTCATGTAGTGAATGGCATCCTGATCGCCTAGCCAGTCCGAGCCCTTGACGGTGTCGTACATGTGCCACTGCCAGTTATCGTCCTCCATGTTGCCCAGGGCGGCATTGATGCCGCCCTGGGCGGCGACTGTATGCGATCTCGTCGGGAACAGCTTGGTGACCACTGCGGTCTTGAATCCCTCGGCGACGAGGCCGTAAGCCGCGCGTAGACCAGCACCGCCGGCTCCCACCACCACCGCGTCATATGTGTGATCCACCAACGGGTAATGTTTGGAGATTTCGTTGGAAATCTTGGCCGTTCGGTCCGACGTGTGGTGAAGTTTGCGGTTGCCGAGAAGCGGCAGTCCCAGCTTGTTCTGTGAAACGGAAGCGAAGTAGAGATACCAAGGGCAAGCAAATCACAATACAGCTTTCTATAATTAAGAATTCACGTTTATTAACCGATTCACTCGCTAGAGCGTTTAATTGATGTAACAGTTGGTTGTATAACTTCCATATTTCGTAAATTTTTCGTAAATATAAAATTCAAGAATATATTATATGATAAAAAATATATTCGACCTATGATATAATATAAAATTCGAATTCTACTGAAACAGAATTTCAGACAGCGATACCAGGCGGTATGTCCAGTCGGAAAAAAAAATGATGCTGATATCTAGTTTCCTACTTTTATAAGCTCTTAACAGATTGCTGAGGAAGCTTCAATTACTTCCTTTCGGATTCGAGAATTATTGTTAGATAAGATCACGTGAATACGTTGTTATATATAATGAGTCACGAATATGCGATTACGTATACATACGTACGTACGTATGTACATATATGTATTTATTTTCTATTTACGAAATCCCACGGTAAGTATTGTTGTAGAGATAAAGCGTATATATTTCCATTAATTGTTTTTATATATAGATTATATATTGCACATAATTAAACATATAAGTATATAAAATATAAATATAAACAATTATATAATATACAATTAAACAATTTTATGTTATTTACAAATAAAATTTTACGCATCCGCGAGGAAATTTTGCGAGAATATAGCGAAGTGCTTATGATTAAAATCTACAAATTCTTTTTAAGATATAAAAAATGGAAACATGATGCAAGCAATATAAAAAGATATTATATAAGTAAACGGTTTTAACTAAATGCTTGTAATAACTAAATGCTGATTCACAATACTTCACGGAAAATTCATATAAACTGCGTATATATTTTATGTCTTTATGAAGACGTAACGAGCATGACTCTACAAACTGCGTTGAAATTAACCTGAAGATCAATTAGCGAGTTAATTAGACCCGCTAGGAGAAAAATAGAGATAGTGCGAGTCTCTTCGTTGCCGTATATCTCGTTGCAAAATAATTAAAAGTGATAAACACTAGGTATATATCGCTCGGAATATTTGCAGAAAATGATAATTTTCTGTGGCTTATCGTCAACTTACAATTGTTCGTACTCAAAGATAAGGCAAAAAACACATTTCTGTTTGATCTTAAGATCGCGCAATATCGGTATTTCGTTATTTTCTCGGAAAAGTCAATAATTCAATATTATTTTGCTACGTTAAGGGGGAGGGGGAAGGGTTTTTATCTTGAAAATGTTGAAAAAAAATTAGATTAATTTGTTTTATTTTAATTTCGTTCCGAGTTAAAAAAAAATATTGCTTCGTCATTCAAATATTTAGCTAAAAATTCGGTAGTAGATTGATGCAATTAATCGTTAAAGGCTACGAAATATCGTGGATACGTCGGTTAAAATAATGACAATGTTTTCAGATGATAATAATTATCTTTTTAATAAAACGCTCTCGACGTTCACATAATTCGCACTGGAATAAAAATCTTGATACAAATTAAGCTCGATGTCATTTTGTGACGATCGTAAATATTTCATGCGCGATAAACTTTGCACGCACATGCTTTTCGAAAGCATACCGTTAGCAAAACCCGGTAAACGAAGACGTGAAATAAAGTTATCAATTCGTTATCAATTCAGGCGCGACGCGACATTTCGCACAGGTGTGCTTCACGCCTATCTCGCTGCCTACTTCTTTCGTATCACGTTGCGTCTGTATCTGTAAAAAGGTTCTCAAATCTCTAATTCTGAATGACGAATTGAACGGAAACAATTAATATCGCGAATCTACGTCGCCTCGTTCGTTCAAATGCCTTGTGGATATATCGATACCTCGTTTACCGCTCAAATTAATCGACATCCACGCCGAAATGCCGTAAAAGTATATATCTCGATTCGGAATCGAGGCATCGAGTGGACACCGTTAGTCCGTTAGACGCGAGCAGCCCCCGCCGGTCGATGCGGCCGAACATATGGAAATAGAATGAATGTGTTCTATCTTGTGGCGGGATTTCTCAGGAACGAGCGAGGAAAGAATTGGGAAGACGGAAGATATTCCCTCGACGGTGGGAAGTCGAGGGGGATGCTGTTTACCACGAGCGGACGACGTGAACGCGGGCGGCAAGACGCGCGTTTCCGGGCGCGTGTATTTATTCGTCGGTCGCGCGCACCTTACGTAATTGATCCACCTCGACTTTTACGTCGACGCACCTCGCCGAGTAATCGCCGACGGGACGGCGAATAAAAAATTACATAACGAGCCGAAACGTGGACGTGAATCCGCGAAACCCTGACCTGCCGCCACAAAGGTACAATCCGCCGAATAACGGACAACGGGACGTTCGACGGAATTTTTTTTTCTTCCTTTAAGATGGCGCGAGGCCGCTGGTAACGCGAGATTTTCTAGGCCAGGTGCGCCCGAGATCGAGGCTCTAATTCCCGTCGAGGTTCGAGTTCCGATTTCACGCGGAAGAACCGACCCTCGGTGCCGACGATTGTACTCCATTTTCTCAGCGAGAGAAACGCGGCCGCGACCGCGTTCTATCTTCACGGGGTGAGAATCCGCGTGAACGGGGACGTAAAGCCGCGTCGACAACCTCTATTGTTCGAATTGCGAAAAATTGCGAACGCGTGCTCCGGTTCTCACCAGCGTCGCCGATCCGGGCAGACTCCTCGGCAGCAACGACGCCGACAGCTTCAGTAATCCGCTCATCTTACGTCACCCAGCACCTGTGCTTGGCTTCCCGTCGAGATACGCCCCCGTGACAGACCCGCGCGCACGCAACACGCGACTAACCCTCACGATATTATCGGTACTTCGACCCGCTCAGTTCGGCGGCTCGACACCGACTGAGACTCCGAGCGTCGCCGGAATGTTGCGCGCGCACAGTGCTGCCAACGTGCTCCAACGTGCTGAGACCTGAGACGTCATCCCGTATCCAAATGTGTATTTCGCATAATTCGCGTGGTTTCGCACCTGCATCATGATATCATAATAAAAATATATATTACTGAACTTTTAAAATCGGGAAGTTATTAGGTTGGTGCAAACGAAATACAGACAGTTTTTCGTATTATAAAATGGTGATTTTCTTTTTTCAATATATTCTAGATTTTTAAAAAAATTTGCGATTATACCATTCGATAGAGCAAAGTTTTAGCTTTAAGAAACTATATTTTTAATTGCGGTATAATGATTTTTAACGGAGTTATGAGCAATCAAAGTCAGAATGCTCCTTTTTACTTACTCCGCGAGTAACTCAGAAACAAAAAAAATCGTAAGAACATTATTAAAAAATGATTTTGTAGGAAAAACTTCAAGCTTCCACGATAGATAATCAAAAATTTTTTCGATTTTTTTGTGGACACGTGACAGACCTACAAAGTGAGAAGAAATTTTTTTCATTTTTTTCAGCCGGTAGTTTTCTATATGTAAAAATTACTGAAGTCACATAAATTAAAAAAAAATAGTAAATTTTGGAAGTAGATCAGTTTTCAAGCTTTAAAATTCTTTTTTAAATTTAAATTTTCATTTTTTAACAAAGTAATGGCTGTTGTTGATATAGCAATATAGAAAAACGTCACTTCATTTGCACCAACTTAATAAAATCCTAGTCCGAAGATCAAATGAATCTCACATTTTCAATCATCTTATCGTTTCTAAAGGTGACCCCTACATGGTCAACAATAATGTACTGTCAGTATTAACAATTAAATACTGACAATATTACTGATGGATTGATGTACGTACTGATCTGAATTTTGATTCTCGAGCATCAGTATCGCTTTATTAGGATCCATATATATCACAGTATGTCACAGTGCAGTAGATAATGTACGTAAACTAAGAAATATATTGTCAAT